TTCTTATGGTCAGTCCAAATCTCGACAGGGTGCGCGGCGCCCTCGAGGAAGTGTCTATACTCCTCGAGTGCGCGGATGATCGCGAGCATCTCCTTGTCGTGGATTTCGTAGTTGCGCTGGACATCATTTAAGCTTTTGGAATAGAATGCTACAGGGTGCCACTTCCCATCCGGGGCGGATTGTGAAAGAACCGCCCCCGTCGCATAATCAGAGCTGTCTGCCTCAAGTCGGAAAGGCCGTGCGTCGTCCGGAATCGCCAGGACTGGTTCCGAGGTGACCGCGTCCTTGATCGCTTGGAACGCGGAGGCCTCCGCGTCGCCCCAGGTCCACTGCTGGTCCTTCTTGGTGAGCACGAAAAGAGGGCGCGCAAGGGTTGAGAAGTCCCGAATGAACCTGCAGTAGAAATTAGCGAACCCAAGGAACTGCTGAATGTCCTTCTTGTTTTCCGGAGTCGGCCAAGCGGAGACGCCTGCGACCTTGACGGGGTCCATTTCGACGTGGTTATGGGAGATGATGACTCTGAGGTACTTGATTGACGATTTTTCAAAGTCGCACTTCTCCGCTCGGAGGTACAACTTGTGCTCTCGGAGTCGCCGCAAGACCTCCTGAACAATCTGCCGGTGTTTCCGGAGGTCGGAATGGGCGATCAGGATGTCGTCAAGGTAGATCATGACGTCTCCGGAGAGGATGAGGTCCTTTTTGGAACGTCGCGGGAGAGTTTGTCAGGCCGAAATACATCACCAAGGGCTCGAACAGGCCTCGGTTAGTCCGGAAAGCTGCCTTCCACTCGTCACCTTCCTTGATCCGGACGTTGTTGAAGCCCCAACGAACATCGAGTTTGGTGAAGTAGCGAGCGCCTTTGAGCCGGTTGATGAGGTCGTTGATCAGCGGAAGGGGGTACCGGTTTTTGACGGTCATCGCGTTGAGGGCCCGATAGTCCTGGACAAAACGGAGTCCGCCATCCTTCTTTTTGACGAAGAAGACTGGAGACGCCATCGGAGACTTGGAGGGGCGAATCCGGCCCGTCGAAAGCCCTTCCTCGATGAACGCGTCGAGCTCGCGCTGCTTGAGGGGCGAGATGGGGTACACCTTGCAGTTGGTGGGCTTAGCGTCGGGGACGAGTTCAATGGCATGGTCCCAGGCTCTCCGTTCCGGTAGCGTATCGAAGGACTCCTTGTTGAAGACGTCCCTGGAACTCCTTAGCCCAGTCCGGGATCTCGGAGGGCGGAGGGGTGGAGTTCCTGGCAAAGGCTTCGGCCAGGCGCTGTGAGACGGTGCTACCTGCGCGTATCTCCTCCGAGGGGCAAAACGAGGTGTAGAAGATGCGGTCACCATCTTTGAGCTGGTCATCGTCGTCGTCCGAGTCCGAGTCCGGTGTCAGATCAGGCAGGTCGGAATCGAGACCGGAGTCGGAATCGTCTCCGTCCTCAGGGCCAGAGAGGTCTATAGTGCAAACCGAGGGGAACAGGCCGGAGCGGAGACGTTTCTGGAGTGACCGGAGTCGCCGCAACTCGGTCCGTTCGACACGCTCCTCCTTGCGGCAGGTCGAGCAATTGCAGGGACACCGTGTCATCTTGACCTCCTTGGTTTCCCAATTGATCTCTGGGTTGTGTTTCCGCAACCAGGAGTACCCCAGGATGAGGTCTTGCTTGCCAAGATGAGTGACGGCTAGTTGAACTCGTTCAGCATGGCCTTCGTAGCGCAGGACCAAGTCCGCGATCTGTTTGATGGAGCCTGCGTCATTGGGGGTGCCATCGACATTGAAAACCGGAATCGGCTGATCGAGGGTGCGGACCGGAATGCCATTCCGAGTGACATAGTGCGTTTCAATGAAGTCGGAGGTGGCACCACAGTCGACAAGCCCAGAGAGCGAGAGCTTCAGTGTGCTGGTAGTGGACTCTAGCTCCAACGGGAGGTGGAGGGAGTTCGCCCCAGGGGCAGCGGCAACAGTATACTGCCTGGGCAGTTTCTTTTCCCAGGCAGTGAGGCGGCGAAGGACGATGACCGGAGTCGCGGGCGGAGTCGAGGTGGGGGCAGGAGAGGGTGTGTCTTTCGTTTCGGGCTCATTGTAGGGCAAGGAACTGCATTCATCATACAAAGAGGCAAAACGATTTATAGACGCGAACGAGGGCACACCAGTCACTCGTCGCGGGAAACAAAATCCTCTTCGGCCATCGACTCCGCTGCCGTCTCCGGCAGGGCAGCTGTGTCCGTGTAGCGGGCGATCAACTCCGCTAACATCTCATCACCGAGTTGTTGGATCACCTCGTCGAGGATGTCCATCGAGCGGACATTGGCGGGGAGGGGGCAATCTCGGGCGAGATGGTTTGGGTCGCCGCACCTGAAGCAGGCGCGACAAGGGGCACCCCCAGCCCTGGTGCGATCCAACTCTATAGGGACGGGAGCTGGAGGCGCTGGAGCGGGGGCGCGGGCCACGGGTGGCACGACCGGAGCCACCGGGCGGAAAGGGGCCGGAGCCGGGATGCGGTTGACCGGAAACGGAGTCCGAATCAAACCGCCAGGCGTCTTGGGGGCCTGGACCAGGGCCTCGTATTGACGGAATGCCCGGGTGCGCCAGCTAAGGTAATCCCGGAGGTCCGGGGGGTCGTTTGAGGACGTGATTCCGTTGTTGATCAAGGGATCAAGTCCATGGTGGAACTTGGTCACCTTGACCAATGCATCTTCGAATCTGGCGAGGTCCATCAGGTCCTCGAAGTCGTCAGTGTACTGGTAGACATCCTTTGTGCCCATGTGATAGGCGGAAGTCTCCAGCCTGGAGAGAGCGTGATCTTGCTCATTCTCCTCAACGAACCGGAGTCGAAACTCGGAAACGAACGAGCCCCAGGACGGAAACGGAAACGGGGCTTTGCTTCCGTGGCGCTCCGCCCATTGCTGAGCGGGTCCTTCTGCCATAAACGACATGGCATAGCGGACGGCCTTTTCCTCGCTCGCCTCTCCGTTGACCACGAAGGCCTCAGGGGCAAGGCGGGCGTAGGTGCGGACCGCATAGAGAAACGCGCGGCCGCGTTTCCGATCGCCGTTGAAGGTGAACGGAGGGTTTGGTCGCAGGACCAATTTTGAGGCGAGGTTGATGTCGCCAAAGAGGGCCTCGGAATCGCCCTGAACCGGAGTCGGAGTCGGAATCGACGTCTCCGGGGGTGGTGTTGTTTGGGGTCCGCCAGCAGTATTAGCGGCGGCAGCGGCAGCGGAAGCCTGGGTGGTGAGAAGAGTAAGGGCCTCAGTTAGGCTATCGATTTTCGCCTCGAGTGAGTCCAGCCGGGTGTCTGCGGTAGGAGTGACTCCGGACAGCATGACGGGTGCGGGGACCACAGGAGCAGAGGAGGAGGGGACAAGTGGCAGGGGCGGTGACGAGGGCGGAACGGACTCGTACTCCGAGCCTGAGAGCTTCTTCTGCTGTAAGGGCAACCCCGGAGGCCTGAGATCAAGGTCCTAGCAGGGGAGGATCCAAAAAGAAGAAACTCCAAGGGTCCGCCTGCTAGGGAGCTGACTATATACTGCTTGTCCGTAGCTGCCGCTGTCGGGCACAGAAGGCTTGGGCGGTGTCGCAGGCGAGGTCCCAGGGCGACTGTCGGGAGGGTGTTGACGGATCGGTGATTGTGCGGGCGAGATGGAGGGCCGGACCGGAGTCGGAACCGGAATCGGACCGGAATCCGGCGCGTCTCCGGGCCGAAGGGGAGGTTCCCCTGACAAAACCCGCGGATGTTTTCTTGTGGGTACCTGTGGTGACATCCATGGGTATTGACACTTGTGCTAAGCTTTAAAATGGGCCCATGATAATAGATACCCTGATGGATACGAGATAAAACTTACAGACTAAATTTGCACCAAGTTAGTGTGTGTGTTGATCCCTCAAGTTAAACATTTATCCAGACTAATATCAGGTGATGACTACAATCTGTGGGATTTCAATGCACTCCAGCTAGGGTTTCAGCCAAAAAAAATGGGTGCCTAAGCAGAATTAAAAATAGTGGTCCCCAATGGCCCTTTTTGCTGCTTTGATTGCCATAGAATAGTTGTTATAGTATACATTTTTTTTGTCTGCTGTTTGTCATAAATAAACCCTACTTCGGGACAGAAACCCCGGTGTGTAGTACTTACTACACATGCAGGCTCATGCCCAGCCCTCGTTGTAGAGCTCACAATCCTAGTAGTGTAGTTTAAGGCCGAATGTGATATGATTGATTAACCGATAAATCCGAAGTGTGACAAATGTGACGGAAAAGTGTGGGTTCGCTCTACAAGAGGGCTGCTGGCCCGTGTTCGCGAATAGACCACTTGTATACCAGTTTGGTGGGCTTCCGGGGTGGCGGCGGAGGCAGAGGGGGTCTGGAAGGTGTCGGGACTGGAGTCGACACGTCGTTCACAGGCTGTGAAGAGGGGTTGGATGTGGAGGAAGAAAAGAGTGGTGGGCGGGGGTTACACACGGTTCAGAGCCGGGCCGGGCTAGTTGCGCCAGCCCTCTTGCAGAGCACTCACCCCGAACAATAATAACGCTTGTCACATCATTCTGATTTAGCTCTAAAATCATTACATATTCAGCTAAAAATTACGCTCTCGGATCTGGCTGCTCTGCAACGAGGGTTGGGTATGCGCCTGCTACACATGCCGATGTAGATAGCTGTGTTGAAAAAATCAGGTCCCGCACCAAAATGCGCCTGATTTGGCGGAACTAGGTCACCTAGTCTAGGTGACACATTTAGTGGCTGTGAAACTAGATCTACTCTTTACACCCCCTGGGCCCTCTTACTTATCCTTGACTTATCTGAAACTGGCGGCCTGGGTTCGTATTTTGTCCCCGCCATACCATATTTCTGGTTCGTCACAATGCCCACGGCAAAGTGCGGGCGATACATTCATTTTGCTTTACTTTTACTGTACTGTACGCTACGTGAGATACGCATAAGTGACTCTATCGTTCGTCGACACCACACCATGACAAAAACAGAAAGGGAAATAAAATGTACAGACAAGTACACGCGCTACCGCGCCTCTTCTTCTTCTCTCCGTTCCTGCTCCTGGCCTTCCTCGCTGTCCCGCTTACCCGCCGCACCCTCGCCATCGGCATCCCCGTCCTGCGCGGGCACGACCCCGACGCTGACGATGCCGACCTGCAGCGGCGGCAGCAGCACGTCGTCCTCGTCCACGGGCCGCCCGTCGGGGCCCACATGCGAAAACGGGGCCGGCCAGCCCGTCTGTGGCGCTGCTGATGACGGCGAGGGAGCCAGGGACGGGAACAAGGCGGGCGTGGGCATGGCGATGAGCACCGCGACGCGGACGCGGGGCTGCTCGAGGCTGAGCGGGAGCGCGGTCGTGGAGGGGACTGTCGATAACACCGCCGGCGTGCTGGTGCCCGAGACGCCCGGCGACGTCGTCGTCGTCGTCGTCGCTGCGGCCAGCGACGGCGGCGGGATGTACGACGCGGCAAACGGGACCACGCCGGCCCACGCCCTGTCGCCCGCCTGCGCCGCGTCTGCGAGCGGCGGCGCGACATGCGCGTCCCACAGGCGCGGCTTCCTGCGGAGGTCCACGCGCACGCGCGGCGCGGGCGGCTGCCACGTCCCGTTCGCGATCGCCTCCGCGATCATGCGGCGGTGGCGCCGGCGCAGCAGCAGCGAGCGCGCGACGATCGCGGACGAGACGCCGAGGAGCAGGATGAGCGTCGCGAGGAAGGTGTATACTAGGGGCTGGTCAGCGGAGAGAGGGTGGGTGGCAGGAGACGATGACGCACAGTAGAGCTGCGCGGAGCCCTGGATACCGGGCTGCGGATTCCCACTCCCTCCTCCGCCCCCGCCTGCGCCCCCGCCGGGCGGGCTGGGCAGCGGGGGCACATCGGTGCCGGTGGGGCCATCCGTGGTGAACGTCTGCGGGAAGAGGAACGACGACGAGCTGCCCGTCGACGTCGCTGAGGGCGAGGGAGAGGGCGAGCGTCGAGCGGACGACGGCGAGGGCGAGGACGCCATGGGAGAGCAAAGCGAAGGGGTGTGTGATTGTCGTCAGTGACGACGCCCTGACCTGGGTGGCTGCGGCGGGGCCTGATCGCCGAGCGCCGAGCCCGAGAAGCGCGGAGGTGCCTGGCGCTGACGTGGCGTGGTTTGCGTGCCTGGCTCGCTGGCGGGCGCGCTGGGGAGGGTGGCGAGCGCGAGCGCGAGGGTGGGCAGGGGCAGGTGGAGTGCGTGTGGTGGCCGGAGCCAAGACTTGGAGGCCGGATGACCAAGCAGCTGACGTGGGCCCGCTGACGTCGACGGCCGACGCAGCCAGACAATTACAAGCCATAAATTACACGTCAAGTCGCCCTGCCGCAGGTACGAAACACGGGAGCAGACCCGTGTCATGCATCACAATCGAGCTAACCAAAAAGAAAAAAGCGAAAAAAAAGTCAACTATTTCAACATGAACCATGATGTGCCGTCCCGCTCCGTGCTGAACCGCGCGCGCACACCTGTCCCCCGCCGTGGCAAGTCAAGCGTCTCTGGGCACCTAGGTGCTGCTCATAGCTCATATCATGCAAATCACGCACACACCTTTGCATATCCGCCCTCAGGCCCATCGTGCCCCAATTACTTACCTCAGTACACCCTGCATAGCTATATACTCTATACAAATGAAATATATCATCTCCTCTCAGGCCAACCCCTACTCAATCGCATAAATCAAAAAGCAAGAAACATTCAGGATGATATGCGCCCGACTCCGTGTCGAACCACGCACACCGGTCCCCCGTACGGCTGTAGGCCCCAGCCCACTGGCATGTGCTGCCCATGACCTACATACCACACCCGTATATCCCGCTGGCCCTCCTCCAGAAATCACAAACACCAGCCCCTTGACCAGACCCAAAAACTCAAAACATTCTTGGCGATGACATCCTGGTCCCACTCTCCCGTTGAACCAGCCACATCTGCACCCCCCCCTGCCTCTGGAGCAGCACTGTGGTTGGCACCAGGCCGCCTGCCTGGCTCCGCATGTCAGCGACTGCAGTCTATAAGTACTTAACACCAGACCCTCGACCAGACCTCCATGCCCAATGCCAAAAACTTAAAGGTTTCAAAGTCATGATATCCTGGTCCCACTCCCCGTTAAACCAGCCACATCTGCACAAGTGCTCACAGCTGTGGGCCAGCTGGACATTCCAGGTGGTCTCCATACAAACCAACATCTGGTGGGTCCAGATGGACTCCACCTGATCGCCAGCAAGAGCATCCCGGTGGAGAATTCCAGCTGGAATTCAGATGGGAGATTCGCGCTGGAAGTCAAATGGTTATATGCTAAGTGCAACAGTCACTAAACTGTGTGTACTTATTTCTCAATTTGTGGGTGATTTGAGAATATCTACCTGTAGATAACCTTAGATACAACTTGTTCACAGTACTGGGTGCAAGACATCACATCACTTACAGCTTTGCATCCCAATTGGGATTGGTCACATTTTACAGCTTTTCTCACTAATTTAGGACTTTAACAGCAGTAACCCCAAAAATGGAAGTGTGGAGCAAATTAATTGTCAAAGCTAATGCCAAACATGTGCATACATTCACACGACATCTGCTTAGTATAAGAGTAATAAGTTGAAACATTAAGAAACAGACTTCCTTTCACTGTAGGACAGTGGGAAGATCTGACTCATCAGGAGGCAAACTTGTTGTTATGATCTGCAAAACCGGATGAAAGACCAGTCAGAGAGTGCCAGTCTCATGCCAAGAGGATCTTGATGCATCATCATCATGACATACTACCGCTTACATATCAGCTTATGCTTGTTTGTTGTTATCAGATGATGGAATATTAACCGGTCAGGACCTTGCTAAAGAGCAAGGCAACTTGTAGAGCATACTCACTTGTATCTACACAGACATGCACCATATTGGAGCCTGTGCCTTGCTATATATATATCATATAATTGGGGAAAAAAAGAAAAGAAAGAAAAAGGGGGAGCCCTAACTTTTGCATCTATGATGGGCATCCGACTTCATGCACACCAGTCCAGCCATGCATATCACAGAGCCTAAACTCAGTCAGCCTCCTGCGGGATGGACCCTTGACCAGACCTCCATACCCAAAAAAAACTCAAGGGTTTCAAGGTTATGATATTCCGGTCCTGATCCCCTGTTGAACCGGACACATCTGCACCCCAGCCTCCAGCTTCTGGACTGTGATTGGCAGCCTGCCTGGCTGAGCATGCCAGTGATCATGACTACTCTAGTGCCCTGCCACCCTTTCCAGCATGCACCATGTATCACAATGATACATACAATACTGGGGTATACATCCTCACACTGGTGTTTCACGGTCAGACCTTCAAATGTGTAAATTGATAGCCAAGAGTTCAGACAATCAAGGACACCGACTTTGGGTGCGGAGCACAGGGCTAGGAATTTCCCAGTCACTTTGGTGCCAATCCTGGCACCCAATTTCACATAAACCAAAAATCTACTTCCGCTCTGGAAAGCCCCTGTGCTATACAGATTAACATTCAAATTCTTAAAAAAAAGACACCATTTTCAATATATACCACCACTCGAGTTGAACAAGGGCGGCAGGTACTGATAGCCCAGCACCTAGCCACTGTGATACATCACCCCACTCACAAAATCCAGAGTGTTCCAATATGCACTGGTCCTATAATCCACATTTGACTACCCTCAACATATACTTCATTTCTCCCAACCTCAAGCAAGTATCAAAAAAATACAATAAAATAAAATACCATACTACTCAATTTTCTCTCTCTCCTCAGTTTACACTCCTACGTGAACTGCTACCTACCGTGCAGTATGAACATCAGTCTGTTATTCTCACCCTTGCTTTGCTGACTTGGTGCTGTACTAGCTGTTGGATAATCATCAATCGAGTACCTGGGGTTGCCCTTACAAATCCACCTTACTATATTTGAATATTTTGTAGCCATAATATCGAATAGTCATATCATAACATAATATATTCAAATATGATATATTCAAATAATAATCATATTCAAGTGATTGACTAAAGGCATAATATATCCATAACATTCTGAATATATTCCGTATTTAATCAACCATAATATGATTGTGGCCAGCACTAACCTCATGCATTTATACCTATGACTGTTGACATTCAACTGATACAGGCACCCCAACGACCCTATCAATCATATAGCTCTGCCATGATGTCCGACGCACCTAATGGCTGCTTATACAAGCACTGTGCCTTAGTAGCTGTAGTGTAATTGCTGGCAGAATATAAATGTGAATCAACAAAAAAAAAAAGATCAATCAGGTGATTCTGTGAAACACATGCTCAAATAGGAAATTGTCATGCATGTCACGGTCGGTCGGTCCGTCTGTGAGCACTGGATTTTTTTAAGCATCTATGCTTCTTTTTTCCTGCCCCCTTAGCGCCACTTCCATACCCATATCCATCCGTTAACACACACCCGTTCGCCAAGGGTATGTGGAGTGGATCTTCCTTTTAAATTTTCTCTGCTGCAGCACAACGTGCAGATTATCGCCGCCCTGCAACCTTAAAGCTTTATTTCTGCCTCCCTCTGGTTAACTTAACTTGCCAACGGAGAGTTCTTTCAGGTTGTGGCTTCAAGCAGTAAGTTAGTTTTTAGTGCTGGCCAGAATCATATTATGGTTGATTAAATATTGAATATATTCAGAATATTATAAATATATTATACCCGTGGTGGATCACTTGAATATGATTATGTTTGAATATATTATATTATATTATTACTATACTATATTATATTATTACTATACTATATTATAGTCACAGAATATTCAACTAAGTAGTCAGGTAGATGATCATGGCTATTTTCTCAGTCCATGTACAATCTTAGTCTGAGTTAGCCCTACTTCTGATCAATGTCACATATTATCTATTATATATGGTGGTTCATACATTACTCCTAGTAGGAACAAGTGTCAGGAGTGATCACTTTGATCACTCCTGACACTTTGGGTTGACCCTATTGAACATAGTGCAGAACCTCTGATCAAGTGCAACCTAATACTAGTGGCAATGCCCCTGATTGTATTTTAAGAGTCCTATATAACCCAGGCTGGAATTAGAGAGGCCCGAAAGGAAGTTGCCCTGACAATCCAGCATATATTCTATGTTTTTGATTATTTTTTCTAGCAGCAAATATGTCAAATATATCAAGAGATACTAATGCATACTAGATTATAGTTGAATATATTCATAACATATTCATATTTTGCAGCTGAATATGATTATACTATACTACAAATATATTATTGGGTTGGAGCTCTGAATATGATATGATTATAATATATTATGCCCATAAAATAATATAATCATATTTGGCCAGCACTCTGCCACCACTACTAGTTTTCTAATTCGATCGTGGACATTTGCCAAGACGGCAATCACAGAAACACATCATGACATCACATTCCCATGCGGCGTGAGAACTCAGCCCACTCTTCTGCTTTTCCCGCCATCCCTTCCCCACACGGCCTCCAGAGCCATCGGCGTCGCAGCGCCCATGGACATCCTCGAGCCCGCCCAGTTCGTTTCAGACCAGTGCGTCTCCAGTTTTGCTGTTCCGCCAGCATCGGCTGACAACGTGGCAGTCGCGTCCACCGCAGCTTCTTCCTCATCGGCGTCGGTGAGCCGCCTTCGTTTGTGCATCGCTTGGCTCGCGCTGACCACGCTAGTGCTTCTCACATACGACCACCTCCTCACGCTGCGCGCGGAGGTCAAGTACATCTGGGCGTCCTCCCTCCGCATGAGCACGTTCTGGTTCCTCCTCGTGCGGTACACTGGGCTGCTAGCTAGCTTTGCTGTCGTGGCTTTTTACTTGGGGGATCTGGGGCATGAGGTGCGTCTTCCTGTGCTTTGCTCGCTTCCGTTCAAAGACTGATACATAAACACGCTAGAGGTAAGCCGAATTGGCGATTACTCACGCACACGAAAGCGGCTGTCTGACGTTTCTGGGGTGCAGCTGTGTGCGTATGCAGCTCGTTTGGGAAGTGCTGCTTGTCATTCAGGAGCTTCTCGTCGAAAGTACGCTGCGGCTTTCACTCTCAGGCTGCTGCCTATAGATTCACTGCCGAATTCAGTTACGCTCATCGTCCGCGTTTTCGCGATGTACGGCCTCAACTTTTGGATACTCGGCTTCCTGTTGAGTATTGGAAGCGTGAGCGGCGCATTAGCTCTGGTGAGTCGCTCCTCCTGTTGCTTCGGCGTTCGCTGAGCGCTACGTTTCAAGTGGGCGATTATTGAATATGGACGCCCAGTCGTGATTTCACCGCCGCTTGGTGTCCCCGCGCTTCATGGTTGTCATGTCGCGTTCACTAGGCAAACGTATGTCGACTCCCCCCTAGATTTCAATGATTCTGACGCAAATCCGAGGGCTCTACGTATTATTTCTTTCTCTGCGATAATGCCGCGCTGACTAATATCTCCTCGCAGGGCTCGCTGGAGCATGGGAAGGGCTGTGCGTGCCTCGTTCTTACTATCCAGTCTTATCTAACTGACACCAGCCTCGTCTGCGACACCGTCGTCTTTCTTCTCACTGTCCGCCGTGTCTATATCCAACGTCCTGTCACCCTGCGCGTCCGCCTCCCACTCCGCATGGCCAGCCGTCAACATAATGCCGAGTTGGACCGCCCAGAAACTTTGCTCGAGCGAATGTATAAAGACGGGGCACTGTACTTTGGGTGGGTTTTATTTCCGATAGAGTGAGACTGTGTTAATTTGTTGCAGTATAATAGTCCTCGCGAATCTCGCCAACCTCTTAACCTTTTATGTGCGTCACAACGCCCAGTTCTACTCCTCCCATTTCATTGTTCTGCAGCTTGGGGACATGTTGCTCGCCGGCTCCCTTTCGTGGTTTACAACCAAGTCCGTCTCCTGTTTACTTCCCTTTGCCATCGATTGACTCAGCCGCTCCATGCAGCATCTCGGTCGCGCTGCTGTGTCGCCTCATGCTTAGTCTGCACCAGGCAGGCAATGCGGGGCTCATGTCGGACGTGTCGCAGCCCAGCGGTCTGGAGACACAGACGCTGCGGTTTGGCGCGCCCGCAGAGGACCACATGCGTGGCGACGGGTAATCGAGGCCATGTGCAAGGTTAAACTTGGTATTTGTTGGCCTGCTCACTGTGCAGCTCACATGGTACGCGCTCTCAGCGGCCGCCATGAAAACAGGGCGGGCACAGATTGAGGACAGGCGGGAGAGCTTGGCTTGGCAATCAAGAGGAGGTGCCGTCGCTCAATATTGTTTGTACTCGAGTCATTGCGCAATTGATGGTCCGCACTTGTCCCTGGTACCGCCCGGACGGCCGTACTAGTCTCGGAAACCCAGACGTTTATACGCAATTCAAGAGGGGGAAGCAAACGGATTTGTGTCCAAATATGTTAATGGATGACATTTCTGACATTTGATTGATGTTGCGGTGGTGGGAAAATTTTAGGGCGTATAAACCGTCCAAAAATTTTCCCACCTCTCTATCATCAATCAAATGTCAAACACGTCGTCAATTAACATATATGGACACGAATCCGGCTACTAAGCGAACGTCTGGGTATCCGAGACTAGGCCGTACGTCCGTAATCTTACGAAAAATGTGCAAAGCTGCAAACTGGCAATCGGCCCGCGAGTTGCTGATCGATTTGATGAAGACGTAAAGCTGTCAGCAGGGCATCACCTCGTGTTTTCTTGTCTTCTCCCACCATGCACGATCTTTTGCAGCCTGCTGTGCTGGACGGATTGCCGGCAGACATCAAGGTGCGTGGGGATGCATTGTCCGACGAGGCTCTCCCTCACCGACCCAGGCTGCCGTCGACGCGGTCTGCTCGCCAAACGCCGCTCTCAGCGACTTCGACCCTATTCTCGTTTTCCTGCAGTCGGATGAGGAGGAGGAGCAAACGAAGTTACGCCTCCTCCCGGCACTTGCACGACTGCTGGATCCCGCGCGCATCACTGCTGAGCCGGACCCCGTCCATGTCACGCTTGCATGGGCGGCACTCCGCGTGCTGCCGCTCATCGCGGGACGGGCCGCCGCCGCCGCCAAAGAGCTGTGGGCGCCGACTCTGCAGTGGCTCCTCTTCTTCTACGCGCTCCCCGAGTACAACGTACCAGCGGTCGATAAAGTGCTGCTAGCGCTGTTCTTTGCGCTCAGCTTCCATGCCGGCGACGGAGATGATGCGGTCGCGCAGATGCTGTCCGTACCGGGCTCTATCAAGGCCATGTTCGCTGCATGGGCGCGCGTCTTTGGGGAGCCTACAGCAGCAGGCTTTACTGAACGGGCAACAGACGACTCGGACCGCGACGAGGCTGCCCAGGCTATGTTTGGTGTGCTCGTTGCCGAGGCGGTATACACTCGAGAGGGCTTGCAGCAAGCCGTCGAGGGGGCGGGGGGGACACTGGAAAGCTTAGGGCAGGTGCTTTACCGCCATCTCGACTTTGCGAGGTGTGAGCTCGCGGCCGCCGTTACTACCGCGGAGGAGGACGGCGATGCCAAACTTGAGCTAATCTCCGGCTGCGTCCACTCTGCGGCCCAGTTCCTGCGGCGCACAGAACCTCTGATCCGCTTCCGACCGATAAAACCAAACCCGCTGCTGGACGCGATGCTGGAACGCGGCCTCGTTGCGCTGCTGTGCGACATCATGTACACATACTCCACTGTGACCAGGTTGAATTTCGACCCGATGATCATGGAGGGCCTGGTGGAGCCCGCGTTCGACCTCATCTCGTTCATTGTATCCTTCCCCCCGCACCATCATCACATCCCGGATGTCATCCGCCATCGGTTTCTCGAAGCAATGGTCAACCTCGCACCAGCCGACTTCCATAACGACACACCACAAAACACCTACCTTTTGAAGGGCTTCTTCAACAGCATCCTTCCCGCTGCGCTAGTTCGCACGAATGTTCTGGAGGCTTTGGGCGACGTATTGCCCGGGCTCGAGGCCTCTGTCGCAACAGACGCGTTCAAGGGTACCCAGTTCTTTAAAAACTGTTGGGAGCCGTTCCACCGCGTCGCCGAGGCACGTCTGTCGCTCTTCCAACGCTATCGTGCGGGCGAGTTCCCACCGCGAAAAATGTGTGACAGTCTGAAGGTCAGTATACGCCGGCCGCTCTTCCGAAATCCACGCTAATGCTCGAGCCAGGAATTCGCATACTGCCGCCATGTGGGTCCGGAGTCTGAGTTTAAGCGCTGCTCGGGCTGCCGCGTGGTCGTCTACTGCTCCGAAGCGTGTCAAAAGGTCGACTGGCGGGAGGGCGGCCATAAAAAGGGCTGTGCCGCGCTGCGCCAGTACCGCCAACGTCCGTCTCCGCATTCTGAATTTCTGTATCTTATTGATCAGAGTTGTGCAGATCACGACTCCCTCGACCTTACACCCGAGGATAGGGACTTCCTGCGCGTGCTCATGGATGCGGACTACCAGGCGAGCGGCCTTCACGTAACGCCCATGCGGCCCGGCGACACCACGGTGTTCAGGTATGGCGAGAACCCCGGCCGGGTCGAGCGGAATCGAGAGCCGCCGTGCAGCGGGGCGCAGCTGTTCGGCGCCGACGCGGCAGCGCGTGAGATCCTGCGCCGGGTGGCGTACAGTGAGGGGACGGTCGCCCTGGATGTGGCGGAGTTCTGGTCGGGCGTCGCGCCGTCGTATGCGCTGATGCTTCGGCGCACGCACTGGCCTGCAAATGCGCAAGCGGCACATGCTTTCCATTGACCTTGTATATATCATCTTGTAGCTCAGGCTGTAAATTGAAAACGAAATGCTGTCAGAGTGAACAACGGGTATAGCGCTCGGAATTTCTCTCAAGTACCACACTGAAGCAACTAAGTAACTAAAAATCAGGATCTTTTGAAAAACTGGAGATTTTGGTTACATAAGGAAAAATGTTCCTGAACTGGCTCCGTGTTTGGAACATCTCTTGGCATCTCTGACACGGCAGACAATCATCATACGTTCACAGGGCGACGCGCGGATCAGACACCGACAATCCTTGGCACTGCCTCAACGCAAGCGAGCGACTTGCGGCGTGTTATGGCCGCAGGCCCTGCATTCTCGACTGCGGTGCCTTCAGAATCTGAGCATTGGGCACACATCGCCGAGTGCAAACAAGTCCATCTGCAGCTACCTCGCCGGGGGAACAACATTGAGCAAATCCCGAGCGTTCCGCTAAATGCGACAAATTGCATCCTCGGGATTGTCGGGCAGCCAATTATCAGGTGCTGCGGAGGCCGCACCGCCTCACCCGTCGGCGTCCGCGCGAATGTCGGGTCCGGCGCACCTTTTCTGGCTCTTTGCGTCCGTTCCGAAGTCTGTGCGCACTGCGCACAACCGGTCACGATGATAACCATGTGTGGGGGGCATCCACGTAGGCAGCCACAGTCCAGCGTGTCATGTCGCTGACGAGAGAATGCAATGATGCGACGCTTGGAGTGTAGGATCGGCACGTAATCGACTGTCGATGCAGGTCATTGCTTGGTCGCGCGAGCGACGTTAGTCAACTGCGCGGCTAGGGCCTGCTTCGTTTCCGTCGAGCACGGTATATAGAGTGGGGGCTCCAGAGGAGGGGGATCGACACCACCACCACTACTATGCCTTCCACCTCGACCCACAAACGCTCCCACTCCCGCTCCAGCGCCGCCTCGTCTGACGCCGCGCCGAAACGCGCTCGCACGGCACAGGCATGCATCAACTGCCGTCGGCGGAAGCGCAAGGTAGCGTTTCCCACTAGGACAGTTGTTCTTGACTAACATTCATTAGTGCGTCCCTTGCGAGACTCCGAACAGCGCCACGTGCACGCGCTGCCAAACCCAGGGCCTGGTATGCGAGTTCCCCGCGCCGGACGCGGACGAGGTGGCCCTTGCGCTGCATCTCCGGCTCTACCCACCGGTGCCCACAGGATATCCGCCCTACACTGCATACACCGGCGGCACGCCGCAATACGCGGAGCCGTGGCCCGGCGCAAACTACGGCACGCCTCCCATGTCCGGCGCCGGCCTGCCGTACACCGGCCCGCCACCGGCGCATACACGGCCGCGATACTCCGACGGAGTTCCGTATCCGAGTCTCGCGCTGACCGACGTGGCCGAATATGACATCCCCCACGATGAATACCACCATACCGAGCTGAGTTCAAGTTATTGCGTATACGCGGGTGGTGCGTACACTATGCAGCCTGCGTATTGTACGACAAATGTGTGGTACTAAGCTGCTGCCATTTGTATCAAACACTATCAATATTGTAGTAATTGCGTGGTGTGCCATCTGCGATCGTTCGCAGTGGGGCCAGGACCTTTGAGGCGGTTCGACCCCGCCTGTAGGCTATGATCATTGCGACGCAGGTTTTTTTTTGCATTGTTTTGCTTACACCAAAGCACTTGACACCAAAAACAAGCATACAACATGGAGGGTGGGAGAGGCATTTGCCCGGTTGCAACGATGGGCCGCAGCACTTACGCCCGTGTTCCGTACTTGAAATTTTGCCTGAGCGTACACTTTTGTCTGTGGCATTCCGATATGCAAGGCCTCACAACTTCGGCTTCCGAATCGCATGCCCCGCGCGCTTCCACCCTTCCTCAATCTGCACCAGCTCGTCCACCGTCTGCAAGAACGTCTCCTCGAGCGTCCTGAAGTCCGACTTCTTCAGCCCTAGTACTGCGTCCACCCGCGCCCAGTCCAGCGGGAGCACATCCAGCTCCGTCTTCGTCAGCACGCCCGTCAGCCGGCCCTTGAGCGCGGGCCGCTTTTCCGCGAGGAGCTGGAGGAGCTGCGGGACGGATGCGCCGTGTGGCGAGGACAGGATGACGCGCTTCCGGCCCACTTTCGACGTTGGCGGGGATGAGAGGGCAGCGACATGCGCAGCGGCGACATCGCGCACGTCGATGTAGGTCGTCGCCATGGGCGGAAAGACTCCCTTTGGGAACAGCAGGTTGTAGACCATGTAATTTGTCGAGAAGGTGCTCATGGTAGGCACGGGCGGGACAGGGAAGTTCGGGGCGAGCGGGCCAAAGAAGAAGGTGGGGTTGACTACGGGGGGTCAGCATAACGCTGTGGGGAGTTCCGAGGAGGGCAGGACACGCACGGGTTGTTACATCGACATGCGGGTGCTTGTCCGCCCATTTCCACAGCGCTTGTTCGGACAGTTTCTTCGAGACGACGTAGACCGCGACGGGGTTTTTGCTTGCAATGGCGTGCTCTTTCGTCATCGGTGTCCAGTCTCCCATGATGTCAGAACAGACTGGGGGTAGAGCAAAGCCAGGCCCACACACCTTTATCCGTGAAGCTCGTCCCGGGGACCGCCGGCAGCATTTGCACCGCAGCAATGGAGCTCGTCACCACCACTTTTCTAATCCCAGCCTTCTCCGCCTGGATGACGACGTTCATCGTCCCGTCCACCGCACCCTTGTCCCGGTCAGCCCAGTAGTCAAGGTCTGACCGCCACATACCTTCAATTGCTCCTCAAACCCAATCTTCCCTGGCATTGGCGTCGCGAGATGCAGCACCGCGCTGACGCCCTTCAAAACCTCGGGGAACTGGTCGTGCCCGATGTCTGCGATCTTGACGACCTGGAAGCGGTCCCCGTAGCGGGCGTAGGAGGCCTGTAGGTCGTCGGCCTTGGTGCCGCGAGCGGTGCTGACACGACACAAAGTCAGCCGTGCAAGGAAGTGGGAGAGAGAGAGAAAAGCGACGCACCCGCGGACATGGTAGCCCTTCTCAAGCAGCTGGTGGATGACGTGCGCCCCGAGGAAGCCAGATGCGCCAGTGACCTGCGCAGGATGCATCAGCGGGAGGCAGCAGCGGAACAAAACACGCACGAAGATGAGCTCGGGGGAAGACATCGAGGATGTGTGGCTTCTGCCCACTTACAAGCCGCTTATATGCGCCGCGATGGATAGTTATCATCGGGCATCAGCGATGACGTGGCAACGTGCAGCCTTGGCAGGGAGCCTTCGGGGTCTCGCCCAGACAGAGACCGCGAGGTATAGTCGCGGCGGCGGCGGGATGTCGTGGCTAAGGCCGATTTGAGTGAGGAGAAACGAGGGAGGTGTATGAGTCAGCTGTCACATGTCATCAACACGGCGATCGGTCACACGTGACTTTTCTTCCCTTTTTCTCCGCTACGCTTTTCCCTGGCTTCCCCCCAGTGTGGATGGGCTTCCTCTACAACACTATTTCATTCAATTCAGCGTCACGGTCACATCAGATTTTTTGGCCGAAATATTTTGGCTGGTCACAGGTCACAGCCCGGTCACAGGTCACAGCCCATTCTTTTGGTTGCAAACCGTCCCGATTTGGAAGGATCTTAAAATTTTCGCACTTCCTATTTAGGTAAGAGAAAGTCACGGGTCACAGGCCCACTGAATTGAAAGAAGTAAAGAAGTGGGTCAGTATGCTACATACAAATATGCCTAGCTCAATGGAAATTGTGTGCCGCTTGCGCCAAGTGGCATCCTGATGTGAATAGCCAAGCACATGCCAGTTTTTGTTTTTAAGCCTTGGCCAGGCAACCAGCCAACCACGTGACCATCAGATAAGATAACATATACTATAAAAGGAAATATTTAATGACAGATGACTGTTAAGGTGGGTCCTGACAAGATTGGTGACCCTAAGGCAATAGACACACTTCTATGGCACCTGCAGTCTCTGCATCCTGGGTATGGAGTCCTGCCCAAAGCTCTAAGGACATGGTCATCTTTCTGCCCCAGGGCCACCAATGCCACTCCAGTTGCCACTGTCACAAGTTAGAATACCAGTCTATCATCACTACCAGCTGCATTGTAGCAGGTAGGACAGACCATGAATTGGCAATCCATTGCACTTCAGTCTGACCTGGTTGGTATTGGCCAATGAGACACTTGATAGCGCTTCTCTTTGGGCAGTGACAGTGTTACAGCTTGGCAAGGGGCTCCCAAGGTCTATTCTTGGCCTGTTCAATGGTTCAGCAGGCATTCTGAGGCTATTATATATCTACCTAACCCATCATTAGCCTGGTAAAACCAAAATATTTTTATCTACAGAAAATGTTTTTAAGCCCTGCCAGGGTGACCAACCACCTAGCAGCTGGTCTGATTAGACAGTTTGCGATGTGCTACCGGGGGCCACCCGGTGGCCGAAATGTGTTGCGATCACCAGTGGCTCCACTGTGATGTCAGAATAGTAGAATTAGGTCAATTTATGGTCAATTTACTGTGATTCAGCTATAATGTCATATTGCTCCACTTAAGCCACCAGAATCATACCATTTTTGGGTGAAAAGTTGGGAAACTAATTTTTTTTCATGTTTCACTCAGAATTAGCATGAATTACCCAGAGTGACAGCCACCGGTGACGAGTCGCTGTCCTGTGACGCGTGACATGCAGGCCCAATCGGGCCCGCACCCTCCCATTGCCCCGTACCAGGGGATCCCAGAGTTTGAGGCCAGAGAGCAAGAAGAAGTGGCTAGGACAAGGGTGAATATAAGAGACAAGAGCCTGGGCTGTCCAGCCCAACCAAGGGCCCAGGTCAATGAGGCAAGCTAGCCTGGAGCGTTAGAAGTCGTCTAGACGCCCCTGTTGAACGAGGTGGAAGAGAAGAACGATGTATTAGATGCAGGAACTACAGGCTTGTCAGACTGCGGGTTGGGCCGTGCAAGGACCTCTCCTAAGAACGCCGCACCCGGAACAGAACAGACGGATAGTCGGGCCCGCAGGTACGGCGGGCGGGGGGTAGATCGAAACCGAAAGGGCCCGTGAACTCGGTCCCTTGCCGTGGTCGGTGGTCGAAGGTTCGAATCGGGTCGTGTCGGGCCTGATGAGTCGATAACGTCTCCTTGCACGGAGTAAGGTAGTTCTTCAGACGATCTAAGCGATAGAGTACAGGGTACGCTATCGCGCCTTATATACGCAGGCCCGCAAAGGGGGTGATCGGACACCCTGGCCTCTCCTCCTCCTCCTCGCTCCCGTTCCTGGCCGCAGAGGGGACGATCGTACATCCCTTGCGGACCAGGCGCTACTCCTAACCTCCTAGCACTCCTCCCCAGTCCCCTTGTGTCGAGTTGGGCTCGGCGGCGGCTCGACGCGTCGTTCTCGGTCACGTGCTTCCCACGTGTGCGTTCCTCCTACTGAGGCGCATGTTCCCCGTCGTCACGTGCTGCGTGCTACGGGCCCGGCGATGGCCCGACACCAGCGCCGGAGCGGATGGGCCGGGTCTTATCCGTGACAAGGCTTTATATACTACTGCCTACTGAGTCATACAGAGTCATAATGGCACAGAGTCAGATAGAGTCAGAGAAAGTACTGGAGTCAGAGAGACTACGGAGTCAGAGAGAAATGGAGTCAGCGTTGGGCTGACACTGCCTCTGTGATTCGCCCGGAGTTCGGTCCATATGGGCGAATTCACGACAGCCCCTTTTCTAGGGTATGGTCGCAGCAACCCCGCTTGATAGGACCAGGCCAGAGTACGGTTCAAAGAAAGAGACTTCAATGCTAAACCTAAGGTATAGGAGTAATACTCTAGTCTTTATAATAATATACTGTAGGCGCTAGGGGCCGATCGGGCCCGCTGGGGGGTCCAGAAGGGAGCAGAGGATGTCTCTGGTCGTCCCTAGTCGCTCCGCTAGGAGCCCAGGGACCATTCCTCTGGAAAGGAGCTATGCTAAAGTCGACACTAAGGAGTGTTTGGCAATGCAACAGTAAGGAGCTCCCTCCTGATCCCTGTGGTTGTCTGGGGCCAATTGGGCCCGCTGTCAAGGGCGTCCGGCGACGCATCATGATCCCTGATGGCGGGTCATGATGGCTTGATGACTGACTAAAGTGTGATCCGTGATTATGTCCCTTCTCTGGGATATTAGTGTTGTTGCTCAGTGCTTTGAGCTTGTGAATATATAAGGGCTTGTCAAGCCCTAGGGCTCTAAGGGTGGTGAGGGCCCGATGGGCTATATAGGGCCCTTCGGCCCGACCCGAACCATGACATCAATCAAGTAAAATGCTTTGCTGTACAAGGCCAAATAAATCAAAAAGCCAATTTGACCCAACAAATCACAGTCTTTGAGCAGAGTCGAACTGCCTCCAAAGTCTCTCAAGTCTTCTAACTGCAAACAATTGTGTACCACACAGGTTTGATGCAAGGACACAAGGACTCAAGACTCAGTCAGATCTAGTAGACATCACATAGTACATTGAATGTCATTGATAGCATTTGATACAACTATTACAAGTGGCAGCAACTTAGTACCTCCCATTTGTGATACAATATGCTGGCTGTATAGTGTACACACCACCCATCAGTATACACAATAACTTAGATGACCTTTTATGAGCAGAGAAAGATGACTTTTTTTACAGCTGAAAGAGATGCAAAAAGTAAAAGTAACTATTTTTATTTCTGTTTCCATTCAAATGAAATATATTATTTCCTTTACAAGAATATATGGACTTCAATACGTGATTTCAATCACATTTCTGTTAGGAAAGATTTTTTTTGAATTTGCAGTGTGATAGACTACCTTATTACGGCGGTCAAAGCGGGGAAGTATTAAATTTCCACACACTTTGTAAAAATTTCATTTTTCTGCAACTTTTTGAGCAAAAAACCATTTCCCGCAACTTTCTTCTCTAAACTTGACAAATAGTTGCGGATCACAGCCATTCCCAAAATCCGCGAAACATTTTTGAAGAACATTTTTTCCCACAACATTTTTCTTCCACATGTGCTTCAATCATTTGACTGCTGTTTTTTTTTTCTTGTTTTTGTTTTTTTCCCCTTTTTTTGTCTTAGGGAAGTTTCCATTCTTCATTAAGTATTAGGGAAAACTAGTGTGAGCGATATGAATTCTGACAAATGGCATATACACTTGCTTTCATTATGATTTTGATTCTGAGTACTTTAATAACCCAAAACAGCAACACATTACATTGAGATCCAGAAATAGAACCCTGTGTCTGTGTTAAGTGCCGTGCAAGAACCGAAGGGAAGTAACGGAAAGTCCGAAGCAGAACCGAGTCGCTATCACAACACTATATTGGAGTGAGCGACTACATGTCTTGCAGGCCGAAAGCAAGTCTGAACAAATACATGAACTCCTGCGGATACGTTCGGAGAAGCCGAAGGCGAGAAGGCTTAGAACGCGGGGAGGAGTTGGACGAGAGCGGAGAGCGAGGCAAGAAACGTTAATAATGAAACTGAAGTACAGGAGTGTAGAGTATGAGTATTTATACTAAGTGGTAAGCATAAGGCATATGAGCTCGCAGGGAGATCTGATGTGGTCCGCAGGATCTCCCCTGCGGGTTAAGTACAAAGGCATAGTAAGTAAGGGGAACGAGAAGGAAACAAGGCGAACGCCTAAAGGATATAAGTAAACAAACGCAAGTCCAAATGGGTAAAGATCTGAGTTGATGGTCGGAGGGTCCGAAGGGATCCGAGAGAGTCTGCGTGCAGATTAACTGTTTGAAGGGAAACGCTCAGATACCTTTATCGCGTAAAAACCCTGTTGCGCTCCAAGGATAACCTCGGAGCATCCGAAGATGCACGGGATATAACAGTCTATCTATACACCTCGTCCCGCGGGTCCCGGACGGCAGTCATGCGATGTGGTTCGAGAAGGTGGTAAGCAACGGGCAGAAAGAGGATGCCCAGGGCAGGGGAGTCTTCCGCGAGACGTGCCACTTTGGCGATGGAGCCCGGCGCACCGTCCATGGCCATCCGCGCAAGTACCTAGACCATATATGAGCAGAAGCGTGGTTAGGGCACAGAGAGCAACGTCCGCGTTGGCTGACAGACAGTTTTTGGAGCTGGACTGGAGATAGGGCCGAGGGTAGCATGATGGTGTGAGGCGGTGAGTTTCAATTGTCCCATTTCTGACTCTCCTCGCGCTTTTATACCCGAGAATTGCCGGTCCAAGTGCAGAATGCCCGTACAAAGCGCTCTTTGTCGGTTCCTGTGCGCCGTCTAGCAGCCCCTAGACTCAAAGACACCATTGGAGGACATTCCTAACGCGCGGGCGCGGCGTGAAACAGCTGTTCAGCTTGATTGGGGCGACTGACATGAGCGTTGACGACAAGGAGCGTGGGAGCGTGATGTCACGCCAACGCCGATCATTGCTTCTTTTCCGCTAACCACCATTCTCCTCACAGCCAACTCACAGCACGCACACTGCATCGCGTCGTTGACACATTCCCTTCCCACCACGAAGCTTGCCAACTACTCGGATTCTCCCCCTCTCTTACTCGCGTAACTCAGAGCCATGACTGACAGGTTACAGCCACTTGCATCTTTCCGTCGCCATTATTTCGCTGGCAAAGACACTCTCGTGCAATAAAGACTGTATAGAGACGAGGACAGCCCGAGGGAGTCAGCGGGTGCGGGGAGAAGAGCAGAGGAGAGATCGTCCAGACTTGAGGTGCGCTATCATAGGCATAGCAATGTCTAGAGATAGGGGTGTCCCTTATCTAGGAGAACTCGATCTCGAGTCTCCACTGCGCGCCGAACCGAATATGCCTTTTAGTTTACATTCCCTTTGGGTATTTTGCATAGGATTGGATAGATCCTAGCGAGAAACGGGCTCTGCGGACTTTTCCTAGTCAAGATTTTGGAATCACTGAGTGTGATTTGATAGATTTTGACTAGTTGACCATTCGGGACTCATGTCAACTCTAAGACGTGCGCTGAGCAATGAAATCGACAAAAATAGTTGTTTCCTGGTCTGTCCCAGACTGCGGCTTATCACCGTACCCAGAGCCGCGGGTCACAGATCAGTGGCTGTGCAGGTCTGGGTCCAAGTCAGCCTCCGGACACCTGTGGGTGACCCGTGCTCATCCCTAGCAGTTCCGCATTGATCAGCAATATAGAACCTGAAAGCAAGGATGAGCTGATGATAGTGCAGCCAGCTCCCCTTGGTACTCTGTCAAGGAAGCACACAGGTTAGTGTTCATATCCCTGTGCTAACTTTGGAGACTGATGAGTCATTCAGCTCCTCCTCAAGCCAGTCCATCGCCAAAGAAGCGTGCTAAAATGGGGAAACCAGGGAAGTCTGCCAGAAAAAACAGCTGGATTTGGACTGCTGATGCGCTTTGCCTTCCTGAGGAAACAAATGAACATGTTGCAGCCTTCAAGGCTGAAAGTGAGTAACTATATCTCATGATGTTTTTGAGATAGTGCCAATCTAAAGTTGCAGGTGACCGTGTTCGATGGTTTAGTGCAGAGGCATGGCTCGAACAGTACGAATGGAAGCATGCTGAGCTGTGGTGTGTGGCTGAGCGCTTTCGGTATGATTCAGAGGTGTGGACAAAGCAGGCCAATCTTACGGCAGCCAACCAAGGTGCAGCTGTCTATGCACATACACAAGCCAAATGTTCCGCCAGCTCGAGCATCATACCAAGAAGATATTTGTCGACTCTGCCTTGGGTGCAAACAGCGACTGGATTAGAGCAACATCATTTGAAGACCTGGTAGGTCGGATTGATCATACTCAGGAAGGAATGTTCCAATGGATGGATAAACTGGTGAGAATCTAATCATATACTAAGCTATCTGTTAACAATATTTTCAGGGAATACTGTTGTAATATCGCTTACTCTAGCAAACTCCGGGCGGATCATTCAGCCCAACGCTGACTGATCCAAGTCAGAAGATTGTAGAAGATAGTAGAATATTCATTAGTTACTCTTATATTAAGCAGATGTTGTGTGAATGTATGCACATGTTTGGCATCAGCTTTAGCAATTTATCGACTCCACATTTCCACTTTTGGGACCACTGCTGTTAAAACCCAGTGATCGCCCAAGAGGCCTCTTTGGCTGGCGGCGGGAACCCAGGGGCCTTGGAAGGGCCAGAGGCCTCTTTCCAGGAGGCCCTTGGGGCCCTTTTGATCGCGATCATCAATTTTTGATGCATAATTTAAATGCATTTCTAAGACCTAGGACATATGAGAATACTACTTCTCTACATAGTCATCGTCATCCGAAAGGTACAAAGCGCCATCATCAGGGATTGCATCAGCTTCAGGACATGGGTGGCGGTCGAAAGAAGCGGAGGTGAGAAATTTTCATGATCCGGAATGTATTGGATCGACGTGCTGACGCGATACAGATTACATGGAGTGATGCGATCACAAGGGCCTTGCAAGGCCCTCGAGTCTGGCGGCCGGAGCCCAAGGGCCCTGGCCAAGGGCCCCAGAGGCCCTTGCCATCGAAGGGCCTTGGCACCTTGGGCGATCACTGTTAAAACCCTAATTTGGTAAGAAAAGCTATAAAGTCTAATTGGGACACAAAGCTGTAAAATCAAGATTTTACATCAAGTACCCTAAACAAGTCCAATTTAAGGCTATTTGTGATGTTGTTCTTGGCTGTAATATCAGTATAGAGGGCATGCAGACCTTGATATTTCATAAACTCATGAATAAAATTGGCATATTCAGTAAAAAATGTGAAACAACATTTGAAGCTGGGGCGCCCCAGCCTGTCTAGTAGTATATATACAGTGTACTACTTTACAGAATAAATATTGAACCTCTCTCCTGTCCTTTCAACAAATAGGTCGTGCATATAAGTCATGGTGATGAGCAATCTTAAGAGTGGGATATTAAGACAGGACCTTAAGTTTGGACAAGTGCCCAAGCTTAAGATCAACCAATAATATTACTCTATCCTCAAATGACAAAATATCTTAAGATGAGACCTTAAGAGTCATGGTACTTAAGATAGGATGGTGGCAAGGCTGAAGAAATCTTAAGTTAAGCTAGGCTGGTTTATCTGCCTTCACTGGCCAACTGGCATCCTTTGAATTGGTGTTGTTTGTGACATGTTAGCATTGACTGTCCACAACTGTAGGTTGACCCCTCTGTGTATTTCCCATAGCTTTTATTCACGGTTTGGATCCTCCCCTGCTAGGCATTTGTCAGAGCCTCCAGGTTGCCCTTACAGTTATCTTTCCAAGTCATTAAAATATACATCTTTTTTGTTTATTATTCATTAGAAATAAATCATACTTCAAGGCCCATTTTTGGGCAGGAACTCCGGTGTGAGTACATACCTAGTTGACTATTTTATTTCATTTTATGAAAACCATTTTTGAGGTGAAAAGGTATATAAAAGTTTTAATCAGCAGCAAAATATTGGGCACCCCTTATATGGAAAATGACATAAGAATACTATATGAGGTTTTCAGATCCTCCAAATCTGAATCTGAACTCAGATTTTTCATAGCAGTAATGGCTGGTCCACAATTTCAGTTTCAAAAAGTTGTCAGCTTTGATTATCCACAACTGTAGTACATCAGCCTGTACCAGTAATGCAGCCTACACCACTTCTATGTCCGTCTCGAGGTCCAGTGGCCCCAGGAGCCCCCTCAGGTCCCGCTCTATGCGCGCAATATCCTCATCGTTGACATACAGCATAAGCACACGCAAGGTCAACAGTGGTGTGTCCTCCAATGCAGTGGCCCAACCGCAAAAGAGCGGCACAAGCGCCTCTAGCACATCAAGGACGCTGCTGGGGCCTGCCGCGCGTCCAGCCATCTTGAGTGCCAGCTGGGCGAGCGCGCATTTTCTGTGTTGTAAAAGCGGTGTGAGAAGGCCTCGGATCCAAGTGCCCGTCCTACCGGGGGGAGAGGACAGGTCGAGGCAGATCTCGAGGGTGTCGAGCATCCGGAGGTTGTCCAGGGCAAGGCTGCAAGTTGCCGCTGCTATCGATTAAGGAAGGTCAATAAGAAAGGGTACACACTGTCTTGATGTTGCAGGTCGATAGTCAGCGTCCGGAGGGCCCGGGCGTCACACGCGAAGCCGGCCGCGTCCTCGCATTCTTTACTAGGGAGCAGGAGCTCCATGCCCCGCAGGGCCGGGATGTGTAATAAAGTCGGCAGATGTCGTATAAACGAGGCAGCCTCCGTGAAAATGCTCAATGAATCGAGCAAGAGGGTGCCGGCGGTGTTAGACCCCGGGTCCGAGTCATCCTGCAGTTTCGACAGGCTGACATTGTCCACCAACAACTGTCTGAGCTGTGTCCGGCCCTCAAACGCGTCGCGCAGTTCAGAGAAGACCGCAAACTGGATGCCGCGGAGGGTCAGCGACGTGAGCGTTGGCTGCGCCATGATGTGCCTTAGGGCCGCTTGTGCCGGGAGCGGAAGCAGCATCCACTCGAGGGGCTGTCTCAGCCGCCGGATACTGTGCAGCTCGCTGTCCAGCACTAGCGTGGTGAGCCTATCGAAGCGCCGAAGGACCCGTGAGAACGCATCGTCGGCGAGCCATGGCCCGCGCAGATCGATGGTGAGCCGCCGGACATACCCGCTGATCTGTGGAGACTGCGTTTGGAGCGCGTCGAGGCTAGCGAGCGCAAGATAATCCTCTTGCCACGCCATGGAGGAGGGCAAGAGCTCGAGTGAAGCAAAGAGCCGTCTCTGAGCTGGCGCACAGAAGCTGCGGGAGACCAAGCAGCAAGCCTTGAGAGAACTGTGGTCGGCGACGATGGGTACGATGATATCGACAAGCTCCTGCGGGAGGGCGAAAGTGGCGGAGGGCAGCGAGCACATGGCGGTTCTTCACAACAGTCGCAATGCCACGCGTTCTCACCGGCAATCTCGATCAATTGATCGGTACCTGTCGGTTCCGCGGAAATTTTATCTTCTCAAGGTGATGACGGTCCTCCCTCTGGTGCATTTCAGGCCTACAAAATTGGTATAATCGTATTATGGAAAATAAGAAGCAATCAAGAATTGTTTATGAATGGTTCGAGACACAAGGCCTTAGCCAAGCCTCGGCCATCCGTCCCGGTACCCGACGTCACTGTCACACCGTCTAGACCCGTTCTTTTTTCCTCTTCCCACCATCCCCCATGTCTGACGACTCTTTTGTCCTCTCTGCGGCGCGCTACGGCAAGGACAAGGTGCGCGTCCTGCGGATTGTCCGCGAAGGCGCCTGGCACCATGTTGTGGAGTACAACGTCCAGGTGTTGCTTGAGGGTGCGATAGAGACGAGCTACACTCAGGCGGATAACAGCGTTGTTGTCGCCACAGATTCCAGTGCGTTTCCGCTCCTTCTCCTTTTCCTGCTGATCAGTGGACATCAGTGAAGAATATTACCTATTGTGCGTTCCAGTCAACGAGGCGAGAGCGACGGACTAAGTCGACCTAGACATCGCCAAGATCTCACCTCACATCTTGGTGCCGGAGCACTTCGCGCTGCATCTCGGCACCCACATAGTCTCGCGCTACGCCCACATCGCCAAAGCATTCGTCACGGTCGAGCAGCTCCGGTGGTCGCGGATTTCAATCGATGGCAAGGACCACCCACACGCATTCATTCGCGACGGTGATGACAAGCGGGTCGTTCGTGCAGAGGTCGATGCCACCGCAGGAAAGGACAAAATTACAGGAAACCTCAGCGCGGGACTGGCGGACCTTCTCGGTGCGCTTTATTTCTCTTATTCCTCCGTTTTGACTCCCAATAGTCCTCAAGTCCACCGAATCGGCATTCACCAACTTCGTGCGCGATCGTTATACCACACTTGCGGAGGTAGACGACCGCATCCTATCCACTGCCATCGACCTCGAATACACATTCATTCCTTTCCCCATTGCTGCCCCCGCCGATGCGCAGAAAGAAGAGTTCATCCTCCCACCGACTATCACACCGGGCTCCGCCTTTGACATTGGCGTCCCGGCCCGAGCACGGACGAGCACGCTGCACATCTTCGCGACGCACAACAGCGCCAGCGTGCAAGCGACGCTCCACCGCATGGCTAGCGCGGTCCTAAAGGAAAATCCCGGGGTTCACAGCGTCCGGTATGCGTTGCCGAACAAGCACTACATCCCCGTCGATATGCGGTATATCGGCGTGGAGAATGTGAAGCCAAGCGAGGCTGAGGTGTTCATGCCCATCGCGGCACCGAGGTGCGTGTCTTCTTTCCATATTTTCGACGCGCGAAGAATTGACTGGATGTAGTGGGTTAATCACAGCCACGGTCTCGCGCAAGTAAAAAGAAGAGAGTTTATTTGAATGAAGAAAGACACCGATGTACCAGTACCACCCTGCAATGCGATTCCCAGTGCCCTTCCAGTCCTATTGGTAATGTACCACCCTGTTTTTGGACTTGGTTGAAATTCTTATCCCGATCACCCCTAAGGATCCTATCGAATGCTCTCTAACGCCAGGTAAACTCCCTAGGGTCTGGCTTTCTCAGCTGTCCTTTCCGGACACTTCGTCTGGACTCCCTCTGGTAGGTGGTTAAGGGAGGCGCAAGTTGAGGGACACATGCTAGTATAAGACCTAGCATCATGGACCCATATCGGCGACTCATCATGTTCCCCACTGCGTTCTTTACCACGTTCATTATCGTCACTCTCTTTCATGCAGCTTCAGCGAAGCCAGCGCTTTCCCTGGCCTTGACAGGTGAGGCAATGAATTTCATCGTCTGCTATTCCCTCCTTGATCGCGTTTTAGGACCCCGGGAGGCAGACGGCGTCGGAGCATTACGCGTCACGGCGAGGCTGGTTAACACGGGCGACGTTGAGCTCAGACTGCTCAACGACCCACGGACCATCCTCAACAAGATCGAGACTAACTCGTTCTTCATCGCAGATGGTGCTGGAAGGTCGCCCACATTCACCGGCACTTTCGTCAAGTACTCCCCCAAGAAGATCGTTGAACGGAACAGAACAAGCTCATTCACGGTGCTGGCTCCCGGGGCCTCCGTTGAGATCAAACACGACTGTGCGTACCATTGCATGCCTTTCTCCCATCGTCTGACTTCTATCAGTGTCGAGGGCGTACAATTTCGCTGGATCTGGAGAATCAACCTACGACATCGGCGTTGCCGCAAACGTCTTCCACTATGTCGACCCTTCGGGGAAGTTGGCCACCATCCGCGCCAATACAGTGAAGGCCAATCATAAGACTGCACTGAAAGGCACGCTCGCTGTCGAACGGCGCACAACAAGGCACTGGCACGCCACCTCGCGCTTCCACAAGCGCATCGCCTACCAGTCGTGTTCTGAGTCAGAGAAGGAGATACTCGTCGACGCTGCCGCCGCGGCCCAGGCCTACGCAGACGACACCGTCAAGTATCTCACACCGATCCGGGACGGGACGCCGGCCTCGAGTCCCCGCTGGGCCAAATGGTTCGGCAACTTCACAACCGCGCATCACGCCAAGGTCCTCGACAACTTCAGAAAGATCGCCGCCCAGCCGTTTGCGTCCTACACCGCGAGTCCTTGCTCGTCTCATCCTGCTGCAACTGACTGATGTGCCCATGCAGTACGACTGCTCGTGCAAGAACCCAGACGTCTTCGGCTACGTCGTCATCGGCGACTCCGGCACCATATACCTCTGCGGGATCTTCTGGCAGGCGTCTAAGACGGGCTCGGACTCGCGCGCCGGAACGCTCATCCACGAGGCATCGCACACGATCGCCGAGACCGACGACTTCGAGTACGGCAAGGACGGTGCTGCAGACCTGGCCGTGCGCAATCCAGCCGAAGCGTACGTCCTCCATGTGCACAAATGAACGTTCTGACGATTGTCAAGGATCGCTAACGCAGACAACACTGAGTATTTTGCCGAAAACGATCCGTCGTTGGCTTGAGCATTGCCCAAACATTTTGAGCGTCTTGCCAACGTCTTGCCACCAGAGCGCTACTTGTCACTCCTTCTCGATACCCATAAGATTGTCTAAATTCACCTGTACTTACTTGCTAAACCCAGAAAATTGGGATTTGTAAACATATCCAACGAGAAAGATGGTTCTCGATGAAACAGACTGCATATGAATGAGAATGAAATTTGGGAACAATCTCGTTTCGGACCAATATCCAAGGCATATCGACAGACAAATAATGAACCATAGATACTTAAGTATATCTACTCAGGTAGACAATAGAGAGGCGGCTGCTAAAGATGGATAGCTCTAAAGTAGTGCTGGCCATTATTATATTATGGTTTATTATTATTATGATTATATTATGCCTGGGAGGCCAGAAGAAATATTATATTATTCTGTATTATATTATATGATATTATGATATTCTGATATTATTATCATGGCTCTAGCATAATATCTTATAATATATTATTCTCGAAACTTATAAGTTAGCTCTAAACTCTTTGTACAAACCCAGCTTGGATGCTAACTAGTATTCCTCCTATTCTTGTCCTCATAATATTCATGTACTGTCAGTAGTCTTCTTGCTCATAGTGATAAGGTGAATTGTTACCTGTTGGTGATAATACTGTCAGTGGAAGAAGACTTACATAAAGTACATATTAGACCATCAACCACTAGAGTGAGAGCATGTTCAACCTGAAACTTTTTGTATATGGAAGATTTGAACCTTATATGGGTGTAAAGACACCAAAAATATAGTGTATACACTCTAATTTCTAGTCAGTGCTGAGAGTACTCTGTGTCCAGGCACGTGCCAGCTGTTCACACACAACTTCATAGTCAGAGCTACTGAGGGAGGAAGTAAAGAATGCCTGCTCATGAATCACTTGCGGGCCCCGGACTGGTTCACTTAAAGCCCCGGTGCAGCAATGCCAGCTGCTGCAAAATGCTGCCCCTTTGGTGGCTGGTTAGCCCGCTCCTCTCCTTGTCTGCTGACAGGGACCCATTCCCCAGCACCCAGGCATAAATGTGATGTGCCCAGCGCAGATCACGGCCGCATATTGTCGCACACCAAGCAGATCAACAGTGCTCAACATCATGCCCTAGTCATGCGTAGTGGTCTGCTGGCTTTGGCTTCAGGCCAAAAAGCCATGGCTTTTTGGCTTTGGTACCAGGGCCAGAGCCAAGCCAGAAATCTTGGCCTGTGTTGGATTTGGCCTGGCTTAAGGGTTTAGAAAGCCAAAGCCAGGCCAAAAGCCAATGGCTTTCATTATGATCATTGATAGCTGATTTAACTACCCAAAAGGAAATTATCTAGTGATATGTTAGCCTAGAAGGGTCATTGCTAGTATCTAAAGGCTTTATAGATGCTCTACAGTTTGCCTTCTTACCAGTCTTTGAACTAGATCAAATATTTAATATTGTTTCTGATGCCAACATCTGTCAAACAGCACCAGATCAAACTCAGCCGAGGCCATGGCCTGGGCCAAAGCCAAGCTAAAGCCAGGCCAAAGCCAGCTCAGTTGGCCTGGCCTGAGGTTTTGCTAGGCTAAAGCCAAGGAAAGCCGGGCCAAAGCCATGGCTTTCAGGCCAAGCCAAGGCCAGAAGACCACTAGGACTCATGCGCAAGCTGTGCACAACAACTTGTCATAAGTAGGGTGCTGTAAGTAATTCCCAGAGAATTACTCACAGGTGTTTCGGTTTCGAAACACCCCCGCTTCGAAACTGTTTCGAAACCGGCCGGCTGTCAAGGGCCGGACCGGACTGACAGTAGCCGGAGGCCCCGACGGTCACTAGGAGCTCGGCAAGGAGACTACCAGCCCCGGTGACTCCCCAGCAAGCGAATTGGTGCCAAGAATATGATGCCGCTGGCGGACACCGATGGTTCCGGCCATTGCTAGCCCCAGCCAGTCATTGCTGGCACGTCCGGGAATCCCGGGAGGATCACGTGCCGGACCATTGCCGGTTGCGAAACCAGGTCAAGCTCGGGAAGATTTCAAAACTCACAGGTGTTTCGAAACCGTTTCGAAACGGGTTTCGAAACACCTTCAACTCACAGCACCCTAGTCATAAGTGCCCGAAGTGATCCAGCGGCGTGGAGATGATAACCGGTACATTTGTCAATTTCCCCTGCAAAGGTAGGTATAGGGCCTGCAGGAGTATTTGACTCCGGGTTGCCCTGCTGGGGCAGGGTACATTTGTCAAATAATTACCACTACGGACACTCCAAACGCATTCAGCTGGCTGTGACCCACCTTGGGAAACAAGACCTGATACTCAGGTACTCCTGGCTCAAAAGGCATAACCCCGAGATCAACTGCTGCTCCACCTGCCGTGATGAGGAACGGACCAAACACGCAGAGGTTCGGTGCCTCCAACTCCTCAAATCACGACTACTCGCAGGTGCCTTCCCTGTAAGGGGAGCATGTGATGTGACAGCTGTGACTAATCACGTGACTGGTCCGTGCGCAGATAGCCCTGTTAAGTAGTTGGCTGTGGGGCTGTTCCCCCGGCTTTGGTATCAACTAGGCACCTGGACCCTCATCCCCTGACATTCCCTACCATCTGCGCTGTTGACATTGCTGGCCCAGATGATGCTGAGGACGAATTCAGAGCCGCTTTGGACCCTCCAAACCCCTTGCCAGATCTCAACGAGGACAAGCACCTTGCTTCGCCCAGCAGAAGAGATTCACACTGGGAGTATGGTGTCCCAATGCCTTGAACTCGGCTCCCCCACCTTCGGAGATCCCGGATTGGGCCAAGGAGTTCCAAGACGTCTTCGACAAGGAGTCCTTCAACACGTTATCAGAGCGAAGGGCCTGGGACCATGCTATCGAACTTGTTCTGGACCCGAAGCCTGCTAACTGCAAGGTGTATCCGGTCTCTCCCCTTGAACAGCGCGAACTCGACACGTTTATTGAGGAAGGACTTGCCACAGGCCGTATTTGCCCTTCGAAATCTCTGATTGCTTCCCCTGTCTTCTTTGTTAAGAAAAGGGACAGAGGACTTTGGTTTGTCCAGGACTATTGCGCCCTCAACGCAATAATGATTAAGAACCGGTACCCCCTTCCGTTGATTAATAACCTTATCAACAGGTTCAAGGGTGCCTACTATATCTTACATCTCATATCCAGCTTATACATAAGCCATCCTGAAATTAATGGTTTCTTCAACTTTTTACTAGGCAGATTTGTCTGTTATGGCTGTGCCTTCCCACCTATGTAGCCTAATACCCACTATGTACTATCTAGTCTACCCTAGTGTTGCAGATAAGCTATACTCTCAGCATTATTATAGAACTGAATACACCACCTGTGTATCCTAGTCCCCACCGTGAGTTATTAGGTCCATTGCGCTGCATAGGACCCAATAAGTTCACGATGTTTTTATTATTTACCATAATAATAAATAATTCCTGGATATAAGAATAAATAATATTGAGTTCTAATACTTATATTTCATATAAGTCTATTATAGTATGAATAATGATAAATAATTTAAGAGGTGAGGTATAAGACTCAGACTTGACAACTAACACTAGTATGTAACGGTCTCCAACTCTTCTTTAATCTTTTACAAAGCATGCCACAGGTAGCCTATCTGTCTCTATAATGTGAATTGAGAAGTTTGAGAGGTGAGGTATAAGACTCAGACTTGATAACTAATACTGGTATGTGACAGTCTCCAACTCTTCTTCAATCTTCTACAAAGCACGCTATAGGTAGCCTATCTATCTCTACAATATGATTTGCTTCTCAATTCACTGTTTGGCAAGCTCAGTTGCATTCTCTTTCTCCCCTTATTATTTTTTATTAAGCTCCCGTATGTTAAATTCAAACTGCTTAGAACTACTGCTCTCCTTTATAATCTGGAATGGGTGGTTCTATTATCCTTTAGAAGCATTTACCAGTTAATAAGAAGAGAATTACTTGGAGGCAAAGGAAGTGGATTTTGTGTAATATTACTCTATTTACCTTTTAAGTAAGTCAGCTAGTTGCGGCATATGAGCGCAGAGTGCAGACTTAAGCTTGAGGGCAGCGAGACAGGTTAATTATTGCTACAGGTATGGGTATTGTAATTGTGGTGGGGAGGGGTATGAGTAAGGCCTAAGATACTTAGGGATTTACTGGTGCAGTTACCTATATATGAGCTGTAAGGGTGGTTGTATTAAGCTGAGCTAGCCAGGCAATACAGTTAAGTAAGTAGCTTTTTTAACATTTATTAAGTAAAGTAAACAAAAAAAACTTTAGATTTGCTATATAAAAAGCCTATACATAAATTAAACCTGTATCTCTGACATACCTTATCATTTCTGTTTAAGTACTAATTTAGACAGGGGCTATTTTCAGTAACAGGCTTTCCTTGTAGGCCAGGTCTAATGTATAATATGTTACCTTATACTAATTAACATATTAACAAGATAGTCAAATGCCAAAAATTTCCTTTTAGAGAAGTTTATCACAAGATGTGATGCATATAACAGTGTCACCCAGATGTTAAGTCCAACACAAGTCTTTAAAGGCTTAGATTATTTATTTATATCAGCATAAATTTGTATAATAGCTATAAACATACTAATAAGCTAAACTATATTTAATGTCACTAGGAAATACCAGGTCTATCAAACATCATTTATACTATAAGTGAGGGAATAATAGCCAGTTGTGTAAACCCCTAACCCTGACATATGATATCTACCCTCTCTTCAGCTACCTTTAGCAACACATGCCAGAACCACAACTAATTATAGTACAGGGTCCTATCAGACATCCAAATATCCTTATACACCCACCTTAATGTCCAACACTCAGTCTATAGACCTCACTATTTATGTAAACCAGTACTGTATACACATGTTTTGGAATGTTCACCCCAATTCATCCTCTAAGGATATACAGAGATCAATCCAAGTATGCAGATAAATGTATATACCTCATTTGCCAAACTTTTGTCAGGAACGGGGCCGGCCCGGGCCCACGTGA